AGAATGTTGGGGTATAAGTATTCGTGGATTACAACATTTCGGCGGACACCTTTGGGAATGATCCCGTGTCCCCACTGCGCATCATTAATAAAAGACGTCTCTGCTTATCTAACTTTGTGTAGATAAGTTCTTCTTACCCTGCAGATTTGCAGCAGCATTATAGTCACTACTTTGCGCACCACGTTTTATCACTGACTTTTGAAATTTGCTTTTGTAGAGAGAAACCTGGTAGCAGCACCTTCCCTTTTTTTCTTTTAATCCCCAGAACTACAGTTATCTTCTCCCCTTGCTCCTCCCCACCTGCAGCTGCTGAAGAGCTGGTTCTTATGTGATTTATGGGAAAGTGCAGAGGCAAATCTCTGTGACCTTAAGCTCACTAACAGTGACACGCTTCTGCTCTGGGAAGGGCCCTGAAAGCTTCTCATCCTGCAATTTGTGGAAAAAAGTGGTTCTGGAGATTTTTGTCCTCTTGATAAATGTCTTGCTATAATTACTGAGCTTAAGGGTATTGATTTTTTAAAATAGGAATGCAGAAGACATTAAGAAGCCCCATTAGCTGTGCTACCAGAATGAAACCTAAAATTTCACAATGTCCTTTGCAGGATTATTTTGATGCCTGCTCCACAGACCTTCTCATAGCAATTCCCACATGTGATGCTGGGATTCACTGCACTGTACCTCTGTATGCATACTGAGAATGTGAATGTAATCCTACAGCTACTTGCCAGGCAGCATAATATCATCTTAATTTTACTGGTAAGAGTGACTTGTCTGAGGTCACAGGGGAGAAAATAACTATCTCGATCTTATCATGATTCTCAGCAGAGTACTCTCTGACACCTTAAACCAATGGGAAAAAATTAAATCAGTTGAAAACTGGTGTAGCTTGTCAGCTCTTATCCCTTCATTCCCTGTACCTTTTGAATTTACTTGATTGCCTTTTAGGGACATGGCTTTTAAATTTAATTAATGTGCTATTACTCTTTATCTGACATGCAAAACCTTGAATTAATTGAGTATTGACTAACTGAACTAGTTACAGCAAGGCATTGCTGTCATCCAACGGCCTCTTCACTGGTGTGTGGAAGAGCTGAAGATGAACTTGGGGCTCACTGAGCTGCTGCCTGTGGGCTGTAACCCTGCTACACCTGGGGGAACGGCCACCTCCAGCAGCAAGCATGAGACCTGAAAGCAAGCTTGGTGCTCTTGCCCGTGTTGCAGTGGAAAGTTGCCCTGTCTGTGCCACCTCTGCCTCCAGCACTCACAGTGTACCACACACACACATTTTGTGTTGTCCTGGGTTTGAGTGAGTGGTGGGGTTTTGTGGTAGCAGGGGAGGGGGCTATAGGGCTGACCCCTGTGAGAAGCTTCTGGAAGCTCCCCCAGCTCCAAGTCAGCTCCACCTCTGCATCAAAACTGGGCCAATCAGCTGTGCCTCTGCAATAACGTATTTAAGAAGGGATGTGGTGAAGTGCAGTGGGACTTGTGAGGAGGAGTTGTGGCAGCTGCGTGAACACCAAGGTCAGTGGAGGAACAGAGGAAGAAAGGGGGGGGGAGGTGTGCCGGAGCAGAGACCCCCCTGTATCCTGTGGTGAGACGGCAGGGCGGCCCCCCCCTGCCACCCATGAAGACCTATGGTGGAGCAGACACTGATTTACGGCCTGTGCTTTGCCTGGATGATCAAGGTGCTGTGCTCGAAGAAGGCCGGGGTCTCGTGGGAAAAGATATCCCCGCTGTTGTAGTTCAGTGCTGGGAGGATTGCAGCACGCGGGGGTGTCCCACGCCGGAGCAGCTCGGGTAGGGCTGCAGCCCGTGGAGGGGACTTCAGTTGGAGAAAGTTTGGTGTCTTATGCTGGAGCAGTGTAAGGAAAACGCTGCGGCCTGTGGGAGGGACTCATGTCAGATAAAGTTTGTGGAGGACTGTCTCCTGTGAGAGGGGGACAATGATGGAGCAGGGGGAACAAGTTCCAGAAGCTCCTCCCTCCAAAGTGTGGTGCATATATCTATGTGCATCTGTATCTATGTGTATCTATAGTATGTGCATATATCTACATATTGTATGCATTTATAGGTGTATATATATTTATCTGTACAGGCTCAGACTGGGATGGAATTAGCTTTCTTCACAGCAGCCCCTGTGGTTCTCTGCTTTGGATTTGTGGCTAAAACACTGTTGATAACACATGGGTGTTTTGGCTATCCCCTTGCACAGCCTCAAGGTTTTCTTTTTCCCACTCTGCCCCCACAGCAACTAGGCTGGGAACAGGCAAGAAGCTGGGAGGGGACACAGCAAGGACAGCTGACCTGAACTGGCCAAAGACGTATTCCATGCCATATAACATCAAGCTTAGCTACAAAAACTAAGATAGAGAAAGAGGAGGCAGGGACTTGGCTTTGGGAGTTTTGTCTTCCAAGGTGGCCATTGCTCAGAGACTAGGCATCCATCTGCTTGTGGGAGCTGGTGAGTGATTGACTTTGAATTTCTCAGGTTTTTTTCTCTCTTTACTTTTTAAACCATCTATATCTCAACTCATAAGTTTTCTCACTTTTGTTCTTCCTATCTTTTCCCCAGCCCCACTGGGTGGGAGGTTGGGAGTGAGCAAGCAGCTGTGTGGGTTCTTTGCTGGGGTCAAGCCACCACCATCTTTTTTGGCGCCCAGTGTGGGGCCTGAGGAGGGAGGTTAAGATGGATTTGATCGGAGCGTGCTAGACTGGATTTGTAGCTGTGTGGCAGTTACTTGGCAGAGATTACTGATGACTGCTTTCAGCCTTTGCTGTTTGCAGTGTTGCTGTGTTTTGCCCAGGGATATCTATGATAAAAGTGTCCTTGAGCCTGTCATTTGGCCCCCACAACGCTGCCATCCCACAGCTCCAGGGACCATCTTGTGGAGGCATTCGCCAATCACACCTTCCTCCTCTTCTCCCCAGGGCACAGGTCTTGCCAGCCAGGCTGCAGTGGACCCCTGGCTTCTCAAGCACCTCTGTGTAATGGGAACACTCATCGTGCTGTGTGCCATCAGCCTGGTTTTGAAGCTGGCAACTGCTGGTGAGGGTAACGACAGCATCCCCCACAGCTCTTCACTGCCCACCACCCACTGCCACCACCTCGGAGCCCCAACCCAGCGGTCCCAGTTCGGGCAGCTGATTCCTGGGTGGGAAGGGGTGTGGGAGGGTTTGGGCAGGTGCCTGCAGTGGTTTTCAAGCCCAATGGTGTAGGACTTCATCCCCGAAGAGGCACGGAGGCTTGCAGAGGTGGTGGAACTCCTGAAGACTGGTTGTCTCATCTATGCCGAGAAGAGACAGCAGCTCCTGATGGCCTCCACCTACCAGGCCCTCCTCCAGCAGCCTCACAGGGGCTCTGTGCCCAAGCACATGCAAAAGGACACGGTGGCTGAAGCAGAGATCCAGCTATCAGCGACCAGAGAGACCTGGCTGTCAGCTACCTCCGAGGAGAAGCAACGGAAGCAGAGGTCTACCCCACTGGTAAGGGAGGAGTAGGAGGGAGCAGGGCAGCCCCGGCGGGGTGACAGGAGGCAGGCGGGAGGTGGAAAACGGTTGTCACCTCTTCCCCGGTAAAGCGTGAGAGGTGTGGAAAGATTTCATCTGTCGGCGGGGCGGGCGGCTCGCTGCCTGGCTTCTCCAGTGCTGGGACACGGGGGCCAGCGGTCTGGGTCTGGAGGGCCGGGTAGTGGAGCAGCCAGGGTCCCCCCCCCCGAGGCACCATCCCATCGATGGGGAGGTCAGGACGGGGGCTGCTGCCCGCAGCCTCTGGAGGTGGCTCTTTCGGGGCGTGAAGGACAGGTATGCCTTCAAGGATGATCTCCCAGGAGGAGTGGAGCGCCACAGAGGAAAGCGATCTACAGTGACCTGGGCAACGACCCGGTCTCCAAAGACCCGGACGATGTCTGGTGTGACGGCAGCGGGTGTGGGGGATGCCCTGGTGCTGAGGGACTGGCTGGCTGCCCAGGCACCCGCCATGGCCTCTCTGCCGGCCGCACCGCCTCCGCCTGCGGCTCCAGCCTGACGAGCTGCAAATCAAACAGGGAATATACACAAAGACATGAATCATAAAGCTGTACCTGCTGCTCTTCGTGCCTCCTCCTACCCTCAAAAGCTCCTTTGGAAGATATCTGTATATTTTGTGTATTCATATATCTATAGATAACATATATATGTATATATGCACACATATAAATACATATACTTGTTTTGTATATACACATATGTGTTGATGGGTATAAATGCATACTTACATACCCCTGTATATGTTTTGCATATTCATATACATCCACATACATGGTTTGCCTATTCATAAACATATATATTGTATGTATGAGTATGTATCTAGGTACATATGCCATATACGTGTTTATATGTACTTATGTGTGTTTATATATACATATGTATATTTATGCATAGCTACATATCACAGAATTGTAGAGTGGTTTGGGTTGGAAAAGACCTTACAGATCATCTAGTTCCAACTCCCCCTGCCATGGGCAGGGCCACCTTCCACAAAATCATATAGCCGTAGACCTCCCCGTACATGGTTCGTATGCACATATAGATGTTTATGGACACATATAACATATATTCCTATGTCTCTGTATACATATGCTTTGTATATACGCAGGCACGTATGTATACATGCTGTGCATGTACACACACGCATATATTCTGTATAGACATGTATTTCTACACATGCACGCATCTCCATCCGGCGGCGGCGGCCGAGGCCGCGCCGCGCCGTGTCCCCATGGCGACGGCCGGTGGCTGCCGCCCGCCCGCGGCCTGCTCCCGCCGATTGCCGCCGGCCGGGCCCGGGGCGGGGGGGCAGGCGGGCAGGTGAGAGCGGGACTTTTTGGGGAACGGCCGGGGCGGTGGGAGCGGGGAGGGACGTGTGTGTGTGTGGGGGGGAATGGGGTGGGCACCCTCAGCCCCTCGAGGAGAAACGTTGAAAGACGAACCCGAAATCTCAAAGAACTGTCACTCGCCTTAATGTGCGTGTTTGTCCAGTATGGCTTTGGCCCAGACCGACAGTGTCATCAAGAAAGTAATTCGTGAAATCGGACTAGAATGCACCGCCCAGGGACAAACTGTTTCTGAAACCTTGGTGGCGTTCATGGTAAGTGCAAATTAAATGTGTAGGGTGGGGTTTTTAAATTATTGTTTCATCTGGGTGTTTTTCTAACCATGTCCAAATTCTGTTGTCATCCGTAAAATATTAAGATAAATATGCATTGATAGCATATAGAACAGAACTTTCAAACCTGGGTGCCTGTAGCTTGGCAGTTCAAACTGTTTTTTAAGGCTTTCATGAGGTAGGGGCGTAATTTTACGCACGGTGAATAGTTCCCCTGAAGTCGCTGACTGACACTGCTCGGACTGAATGACAAGAAGTGAGGACATAAACATTCCTTTGGTCTTAAATGTCAACAGACTTCAAACGTCAGCACCACAGCAGCCGAGGCTTTCAAGGGTGACTTGAACTTTGAAACAACTCAATTTCCAATAGCCCACATTGAGAACTCAGTATAGGGTCCTAAAAACCTGAAAAAGTATTTAATTCCTCTGAAATGCTATTTCTGTGAACATAAGGCCCTGAAAAGGCTGCAGGCCCTGAGTCCTGGGAACTCTTTGAATTCCAACTCAGAGTTCTCCCTCATTTTTCTTCTACAGGCAGATTAACTTTTTTTTTTTTTTTTCTTTTTAACGTGGAAAAGAGTCCCCAAGTTTTAATAACGTTTCTTCCTGCTCTCATACATGAACAAACAGGCACGACACGTAGGTGAATGTTCATGGCAGCAGCTCTATTTATTCTTTGACGTTTACCTCTTTCCTCTATTGTCCTATATTTTCTTTGTTTCTCTGTTTAGGCAGGGCCAGGTAGTATAAATGGGCTGAATATTTGAAGGAGTGGGCTTGGATCCCACTTAAACTAAAAATGAAATGGAGTCAATCTCAGTATTGTCCTTGGTAGAAAACTCTAAGTAGCCTAGAAAACATTATACACTTTGGCATGTCATCTCAGGAGACACAGCACTGCTGCAGAATGTAGTACAAATGCATCTGGAAATACGTGTCTGCAGAAAGGTGTAGCGAGGTTCTTTCTTTATTGATGATATAAGAGCAGAATCAGCTCTTGATAAACTTGTATATGAATGTAATGGTTCACAGCAGTGTTGTTACTCTGCCATTCATTTTTTTTCCTAAAGATGACACGGTGGTTTTAAAAAACACATTGGGCTCAAAAGCAGAATTAATCAAATAAACATGAAAATTTTCATGGTTAAAAAACTTTTACATGTGGTTGGCAAGATACCGAGCAGGCATACCACTTGCAAACATGCACATATTTCCCTGCATGCAGAACAATATGAATTTTTTATCCAAATGGTAAATATTTACACTGATGGATGCAACACCAACCAAGAAGTCTATAAACAACCATGATGTATTTTTGTAAAATTTTACTTAGAAAAATATTTTTCCCAGAAATTTTTAAAGGAGCTGTATTGAAATATTTATCTACAAAGTTTGCATCACAGATTTTTTTTTTCACTTATGTCTGAGAACTGGGATTGAAACTGGCAACGTGTGAAATGAAGCAACTTTGTTTCATTATCAAAGAATGAATGGAAAAAAATAAAGAAATTTTGACTGCATCTGAGATTTTTCAGAAAATAAGTGTAGTTGCAAATAATATATGTTGAGATATAAATTAATAGCTTTCTTTTGTCAATCTCTAGGTGAAAGCTGTTGTCTTAGATCCAAGAAATGACTTTAATGTGGATCAAATCCTTACAGAAAAAGATGTGCAAAATCTTATCCAGGTAATTCTGACATGATGATGAGAGTCACTACTTACATAGGACTCTAGTATTGTTTGCTATATGTTCCTGTAACTAAAATGACATTTTATTTTGATATGAACCCTTTATGGTTCTGTAGCTAAAGTCTGGATTATGTGTTCCTTCATGTTAATAAATGCCTTATACTTCCTGGTGTTCCTAGTATGTTGAGAGGGAGAGGGTCTCTAGCACTGTTGTGAAACCTCTTTCATAGTCCCTGTCAGTTCAGATGTTTCTCCTGTGCTGAGAAAGAACTCACTTCTCTGTCTGTCTTCCTAGATCTGTGTTACCAGGCTACTTGATGCAACAAACCCTTCCCTGAGCACAATTAAGATGCAAGTTTACTTTGATATGAACTATGCAAACCGAGGTAATTTCAATATAAATAAACGTTTTCATAGAAGAAGCTGATTCTGAGTTTAGGATTTAATATGTCTCTCTGTAGGGCTAGTAATGATTCCTGTTAAATGGGCCAGTAAAGCAAAGTAAAAATCCCTGGAGAAATGTGCTGTATAGAGGTATGGTGTTTCAGTATGGATATAGTGGAGAAAAAATGTCCGTTAGATTTGAGAGTACACTCATCTCATCCCATCTGAGAGATTTAATGAATGTAATGTATTAGATTGCTTGAGAACAATTAAGCTTTCAGGTCCAGTGGCTAGCTGCCTTCAAGAAAAACTTGTGCTGAATCTTTGTATCTGAAAGAGAACCAATACCCAGAGCTACACTCGTGTATCTGAAAGAACTTGGTAAAAACATCTTTATCAATATCCCTAACGGAGAGATATGAGCAATCTTGAACAATCAGTTATGGTTTTAACCAAGTATGTTTTGGTCTCATCAGTGGTATCTTCACATGGTCTGAGAGTGGGAACGTGGAAGAAAAATGAGATGAGCAAAATTTCTCTGCTGTAACTTCAGATCTCAATGGGACAGTGAGGGCTGGCTGGGAAACAGAGGACACAGAACAAGAGCAGATAAGAACCAAACATTTCTGTGTGGGGAGGTCATGAAAATTCTTTCTTGTTAGCATGGTTCAAAACCAAAAATTAGCGACACTAGGAAGCTGCTCCAAAGTCTTCTGGACTCAATCAGATCAGTAAGCTCAGTAAGTCCAGTAACGTGCTGAGATCCTGAGCGGTATTCAGATTTGGGTGTGTAACTTCAGGTGTGTATGAAATATGTGCCTGTGTGTTACGTCCTGCTGCAGTCAAAGGAATCCAGAGCCAGAGACTTGCTGCTTAATTTGGCCTGAATAGCTCTCTGGACTCTACAGACTGATGTTAATCATGCTAATTATATTAATTTTTAACTCCACTTCTGTTAATTATAGCAGTATGGTACCTTGAACCATATATATGCTTCTCTTGCACGTATCTGTGCTTCAGAAACCCTAAGTTGGTGTTCTGACTATGGAAATGAATTGCACCCTCTGTATAAGCCAAATTCCAAAGAATTTAGATAGGACTTTCTAACTGTCCTTCTGTCCTAGCTGAATTACTCAGTGAGCAGCGCCGGGTTCTGGTGGGAAGGCTGGCTCCTGTGGTCAGGGATATCACAGACAGTCGTCCTCGTGTGCAAGAAGAAATGGAGAATGTGTATCGCAAGATTGTTAGCTATGTGCTGCTGAGCTCTGGCCTGGGATGCCCAACAGATATTGCAGTTGTCAGGGAGGTAACAGGTCAGTAAACTCCCAGCTGTGAAACTGGGATTTTCTTATTGAAAAATAAATTTTCACCTTCTCTTTGCTCATCTTTAGATACAGATGTGGTAAACTGTGATGAATACTTACTACCCAAAGTGTCACTGATCAGCCTTGAAGTCTAAATTTGCAATGGATTTCCTACTATTTGCAGTTGTTCAGGAGAGGGCATTTTTGCTTATTTAATGATTTGCTTTTCTGTTCCCTCGTTTTCTCACCCTTTGTAATACTTACAGCTGCCCTGCAGAGTGTGTTCCCCCAGACAGAGATGAGTACTTTCATCTCACTCAGTAAGAAGAACAAAGAGCAACAGCTGAAAAATCTTGCCATGCTAGTCACAGGAATTCGGTTGTACAACAAGGAATGTGGGAAAGGAGGAAGCAACATTGATGACTGTAAGTAGACAACTGCATTTGGGCTGTGTATTCCAAATTAATTCTTCCTGGCCGCCTTCACTGGAGCAGCTCCAATAATATCCCATCTCTCTAGATCAACAGCTTTGACTCAGGGTCCGTAAAGCTGAAGGAAAAGTAAGTATTTGGTATTGATTACAGGTTTCCATGTAGGCTACTACTTTTTAGCTAAGAGAGAGCCCTATGAAGTTGATATGGAAGGATTATAGGTATTAGCTTCACGGACTAATCTTCCTCATGATAACTGATTCCTTGCCATTAAGTGAATTAAATACGCAATGTTTGTTTTTAAAAGCAATTAATTAAAATATTGAAAGGACCCTGTCAATCCAATTACAATTTTCTGTTGAGCATGTGTAGTGAGAAGTGATAAAAGTTGCTGGGGCATTATTGCAGTCTGGTAGAGTAACCTCTTCAGATTCTTAACGTGTTCTCAAAAGACTTTTGCATTTTGAATCTTTCTGCTTCTTTAATAAGCAAAAAATGTCAATGGCTATCCTGGAATTTTTCAAAATTTTTCAGAGTAGGGCAAAACTTTGCTATCCTTCTTCTTTGCTCTTTTCCCCAAAAGCCACATTATTTCTGGTAAGTTTACAACTAATAATCAAAGAAATGACTGGTCAGCGGAAATGTTTTTGTGCATATGCATGCAGTATTGTAGCTCAGTGTGGAGACTTCTTTGTAAGGAAGGCTGCAGCCCAATTTTAGGGGAAAACCTTTTATCTTAAAAGACTAAAGTTTTTGGAATAAAGGCTACAGCACATACCTCTCCTGATAAGAAAATTGTGCTTTATTGGACAGCAAAGCACTTGCTTAGCTAGTCGGCATTTTAAGTAAAGCAGTATAATTAGGAAAAACAAGATATACTTACTACATCAGAGAAAGAAGTAAGCAACTTTCTAGATTTTAGTGATTTTTTTTCTCTCACATGCTAAGCAAGGCATTGTTGGTTTTCTATTTTTATAATGCATGCTTTCCCACAGATGTTGACTTTCTGTGTTGTGGCTGGCTCTGTTCTAGGTTCACTGGGCCTGGGTTGCTGCATGAGGGAAGATTGAACTATTGTGGTTATACAAAAGGCATGATTTACAACATGTTGTGGCCTTTGTCTCTATAGTATCTGTGGGCTATGTAATCTATTAAAATAGATAATAAGACTGTTACTCCTGTTACATTTGTTAGCTTACTATAATATGGATTTCTTTGCTCTGACCTGTTTGCATAACACTTTAGAATAGATGGAAAAATCACAGTATGAATGCTCTTAGATCCAGAGATAAAATGGACGTCTTTAGACCACTAAAGCCTTAATTTAAGTGTTGGCAGCAGTCTTGCTGGGGTAGGGCTCCACCTTGGCATTTTACCCTGCTTCCAAAAAGTTAAATCAGCCAAGTGCTAAGCTTTTTCCACCTGTGGTTAGACCACTTGTAATGCCTGTGCAAATTTACTTCCCATTCTAGCTTTTTTAAATCCAGCCTTTCTGTGCTCACAGGGTTTGGAGTAGACATACCTCAAGCATAATTACTGCACTGCTGCTTGCTGATGTTGCTAGCATTAGAAGTTCAACCCACACAACAAAGGGCTGTATTATGCACTTAAAGAAACTGGCTAGGCTGCCTTATGCTATTTCCTTGCATAAATGTATGCTTAAGTAACAAAACATATAAAAACATTCAGTGTAATGATTGTCTGCTGTTGATAATGAAATTTACATTTAAAAATTATTAATTATAGTATACTTTATATCAGCTAAAATATGTTTTATTGACATGTGCCATTTTGGGGAAGTTTGGGGTTTTTTTTAGTAATAATGCTGAATTTTAATAACTGCATAGGCATATTTTTTCATGTAGTACCTGTCTTCTGTTTTTAATAATAATCCTTGACTCATTCTTAAAGCATTGTTAGATCTCAAAGTGCCCAGGAAATGGGAGGCCTGTTATTGTGATTATTACTTTACAAATGAGGACACTGAGAATTGAAAATCGTACAGATTGCCCGAAGTCTCTCAGGAAGCCCATGTCAGTAGTAGCAACCGAACTGCATCTACTATAAACCAAGTTTTCTCAGTCCTTGACTTGACTGTGGTATTTCCACACCTGTGATTCTGACTGTTTCGAACCACTTGACTAGTAAGATAGAGTGGTTGAATCTAGTACACAAGCATTTGGAAATGCATGTATGTAAGGACAAAATTTAGAAATTCTATTGGAAGTCTACTTTTCTCAAATACTGCACTGTGATCTTTTGCTAATGATTTAAATAATTCTTTTTATAAGTATCTCATATTTTTTTCTGTATAAACAGTGCCAGCCATTCTGAGTGAAGCCATTCCGTCAGCTACACGGACTGTCGATGAAGATCTTAATACTTGCCATACATTAGCCCACCAGTACACAGCTCTGTTGGAATCGATGCAGGAAGACCAACACAGATATGCACAGCTTCGTGCTTTCAAATTAAAAGAAGCGCTGTTCAATGTGAGACAATATGAGGCCTTCCTTTGCATCCTTCTGGTGAGATACCATCATGTTACATCCTGTGAGTTTTTATCGTGGATGGAATATATTCAGGTTACCCATTTGTACCAACAGAAATATAAGAAAAATGATTCAGAAATAAATAAAATTTATCTCACTATATGAGAACCTACATCATCTGTCATGCTGAACTTCGTACCTAGCTTGCTGGGTTTGGCTACTGTCAAGTAAAACAGAAAGTGAATTAATTGTTTGCTGCAGTGTGACCATGCTTCCATTTCTTTTCTGGAGGTTTCCTTTTTTGGCTTAATTTCATTAACAAAAGACTAATAAAGTAGGACACTTTTCTTACTTGCATATTGATAGTCACTGCCCCAAAAGGCATGAGAGAAAAAATCTATTTGTTCAGTTCATAAATCACCTCAATTTTAGTCTGCAGACATCTCCAACACATACAGAGTCATGGGAAGTCTTCGAAGAATACAGTTTAAATTCTTGAAACTTGTTTTGTTTATGAAGACCTTTTCATTTGTCTTTTGAGAAACTGCAGGGGTTTATTTGTTTTTTTCTGTATATCATAAAGCCTGGAAAAAATACTTATCTTTAAATATTTTGTCAATTCTCTTCATTATAAAAATGTAGAGGCTTTCTTTAAAAATTACTAGTATGTTTGAGAGAAGCACCTGGTTTTATACCTGAACACTTAAGGAAAACTGTATTTTGTGGAAAGTTAGGGTGCATTTCATTACTTAAAACAGCTGTCTGAAAGCAGTTGAATGAAGAGATCCAAGTAAACACTTACTAGTAAATATATGGGGTTTTGACTGTCATACATCTTAACTGAAGTAAGTTCTCTTTCCAGACTGATGCAATTACGGGTGCTCAAGCAGTTGAAAAGATGAATGTGCAGTTTGCAGCAACAATGGAGCAGCTGAAAAACAAGGTGCAGAATAAGGTTTCCATAGATACCAAAGAAGTTTTTGTAAGTATTTTGAATGGAAAACCGCTTTCTTCTTAATTATAAAAGATTACTAAAGTATTTAACAGTGTATTTTTGCATAGTTTTTGTTAAGAAAAAGGCTAGATTATTTTCTCTCTATTATAACAGCATCTGTGATTACTGAAGGGGCAACTAAACTAAAAGATTTGATCTCAAGGTAAAAGAAAAGCAAGGTACAAAGAGGGGCAGAAGGAATTAAAAGGTATTTTACTGTAAGTGTCTTGAGTCATTTGCCAGTATTTGTAGATTTACCATGATATTTTCCTGTTTTGTGTAAAAAATCTCTCCTGTTCCTTGCAGAAATAGTAAGGACACAATGTTGACAGATAACAGCACATCAAAGTGTGATTCTCTTCAAGTCCTTTCAGATAGCAATTCCTGTGATAACAATATGACTGCTTGATACAATTTTTCTAAAGAAATCAGGTTTCTGTGAAGGGGGTTTCAGACTTTTTGCCCCTCCCAATAACTTCTGAACCTGCTGGCCAGTTTCAGTCAAATTTGCCAGATCTCAAAATATGTTATTTCCTGCAAGTTTTGTGAAAAACAATCAACTTGAGAGACACAATTAGAGCCCTCTTAAGACCAAGTCTGAAATGGGAGTGCCACCATTACCTGCTGGTTTGTGTGCTGTCTGGCCAGTGAGCAGCCACAGATCCATGTTCTGTACTGTTCTACCTGCAGCTGGGAGCTACAAGACATGGGAGGGAGGTGCTGGAGAAAGAGGGAATGAGTGTTGCAAAGTGTAGGTATTGTAAAAGAGGGTGCCCAATGACCCTGTGGAAACCTGGGATTATTATGATGGCATGGTGTAAAGGAAATGGGAGAGAAATATGTCAGAAGTCAGCTTAATTTAGATTTGCTCTTCATGGAAGAGCTCAATTTTGTTTGATATGTCTGTCATTTTAATTCCTCATAGCTAGCTGTTGAACTAGTTTGCAGTTCATACATATGTGAGGTTGTATTTCATCCTTCTAAACGAATAATTAGAAAGCAAAACAAAATCTGTGGAGGAGGGAGTAAAAAATAAAATACTCAGAGTATTTTTTTATACTTTCCATAAGGGCATCTGACGTGGGAACTCACGGGTATGGCATTTTAACTGAGGTACATCTCAGATGTGATCTGATGCTTCAGTTTATGTGTGCTTGTGATTTTATAAGCCAGATGTTTTCATTTGGAGAACATTTTCCCCTCTCGTCCAGCTGCTCAAAGCATTTTTTTCTCTCCTGTATCTTCATGGGGCTTAAGTGACTGATATACACATTACCCTTTTCCCTAGAAGCTGTCTGCTGTTGTCTGCTTCCTTCCTAGGTTTTTTTTCTCTCTTCAGGCTGGTTAGTTATTTTTAATTCTCTGCTGAAGACAGAATATGCAATGTCTTTTGATTTCAGGTCTTTAGTAGGTAGAGGTTTCTCTATTAACACACCATTTAAATAGTTCTTCTTGTCTTCAGATGGTTGCTGAGAAGCTGGATCCTCTACAAATGTAGAGAAGCAGGACATTCTGCCTTCTGAAAATGACAGGATAAGGCCTATATTTCTAGTAAACATTTGTTTTAAGAAACATAGTAGATTTCATTAATATTCACTGTTTATTCTAGTAAGAATGATTTTGATCTTGCTGCCCACCTTTTAATTTCTTCCAGTTTTGTAACCATAACATTTCCACAGTGTTAGTGATGCTGATGAATTCCAGAGCTGACTCTATTGGCTGTTCTTATAATAGTGTTGTTAACACGCATAAAATATAATGTTGTTAGTGCACATTTCAGATTTCTTGAATCTCTTCCTGTAAATGCTCTGTGTGTTTAGATGTAACAGGGCACATTTTACGTCACTGTCATTGAAGTCAACATTTAAACTCAAAGCTTGTAGGCTTCTTCTGTATGTGAGTACACCTGTATGTCATCATTCCTGCTGGGAATGGCAGCTTCCACTTCTGTCCTGAACCCTCTACCACACTGAAGAGGCTTGCACCCCATTAATTTGACACATTTGATGGCCTGGGGGGCTGTGGTACCAAGTCCCTCTGAAAGCAGGGCAGACAGAATAATGAAACCTGATAGTTTGTGCATATAGGTGTGGTTTTACCTCATTTAGTACTTAACCAGGTGCATTTCTTGTGGTCCTTCTTATTCCTCTACACCTTATTTTCAGTTATTGCCAATGAAGTGCTCTATTCCAAGCATGGTCTCAGAATGTATTTGGGAAAGGCTTTGGAGTAAAACGTAGAAAAGTACCATTCTGGCCTGTGGGCCTGCCTGCTGAATGTATGTGCTTTGGGTCATATGTGATGGGAGCTCCTCTTACAATGCCCAGGAGTTCCCCTGGAATTTCTGGATGCTGAAGGCCTCGGAGATCAGCCCCGCTTTGTTTATAGCAGGGATTGTTGTGCACAGCACTCGGGTTACAGTGCAGACATAAAACAAATCTGGATTTCAGATCATTTCCTCTGTTTTTCTAGCCTCTGTTTGTTGCACTTTCTAACCTCTGGACCAGCTTTCAGGATGAGATGCTACTGCTAAGCTTCCTCACAAATATGACTAACAATCTGCAACAGTTCTTGGAAATCCAATCACAGCTTTTTCCTGAGGAAGTGCTAACGACTCTTCTGGAAGGAGTGACTGTGAAAAGTGATGAGGAAAGGATGAGAGAAACCATGGGTACTGAAAGTTATTACTTTTTCATTTTCCTTCATTTTACAAGATTTTGTGGTTTGAATTTTCTTTACGGAAGGTGCTACACATTGATTTTTTAATAATCAGAACTTGCACAGTAAATTAAAATGAGCAGTATGTGGATTTATTTTCAGGTACTGTAATTTGGGCTTTTATTTTTATATATAAAATTAAAATATAGCTACTGGATACAAACATACTGTTTAAAAATGGCAGAATGATCAGAGAATAATATTTCTACTTTTTTTTTTTTTTTAATTTAACTTCTTAAGTTTGTTTATGTCTTTTTATACCTTTCACAACTTCTGAAATGGAGGGGGGGGGGATAAAAAAGCTAATTTAACAGGTCTTTGGTTACCAGAAATGTTTGTAAGATGGTATCCCTAGCAACCAGGTTATACTCCAGGGAATTTGTAATGCATGAGTGGGTGAAAACAAAATAGCAGAATAAGTTATTACCTTCCTGTTGTTGTCCCCTGTTTCCAAAGGAAACTAATGCTGTTAAAGAAGGCTCCGGCAGGACTGATTTTTCAGTACTAGCTCTCTTAAGGCAAAGCTAAAGTTTGGCTTTTGGGATCTTGGCGCTGCGGGTCATCCAGTGAAGACCAGAGTAATACAGTCATCCTGTAACATTATTATATTTTAAACATCTGTTGTTTTATTACTAAAATCCTTCCTTTGTTAAACCTTTTCTTAGGAACCAGCGTGAATGTATCTGATTTCAAGAACCAAGAGTGGCTTTTTCCAGAGACTACTGATAATTTTGATCAGTTGCTAATCCAGTACCATGGTTTCTGTGCACATGCAATTGGTGTGAAAGGCCTCACCCTCCCAGGTATGCTTTGTAGTTAGGTCTTTTCCATACTTTGTATGTACAGAAGTATAGGCAAAATGTAAAGACATGTTCTGAATTAATCCTCTTATGTCAAAGCTGGAGTACTGTATTTTCGAGTTTGTAATTTTCACCCCAAATAACTTATTTCCCCTGATAAAGTAGTTTTCTTTTAAAAGTACACAAATAAACTGCCCTAAATGGAAGGTAGGAGGGCTTCAAGAGAAAGTAGGCGCGAGCGAGCAGAGGCAGAAACAAGATGGGATGGATAAATGTTTCCTCTTGCTGTATGTGCATCCATGTAACCTACACTGCAGCCAAATGCAGGTTTGTTTACTGTTGTTAATGTGTTTTAATACAGGCATAGGAAAATGGTCATTCCTTCTGTTTTGTGTATCCGTGTGTTGGAAACACACCCATTCATAGCTACATCATATATATTTCTAAATAGTCATTAAGAAGTACCGAAAATCTTCTCTGAAAAGAATACAAAAGTGCACTTGATTAAGTCAACTAATTGTAGGAAATTTTTTTGTCTCTTCTGGGGTCATTTGTCTTGAAAGCAAGCCTTATGTCAGCTACCCCATCAGTTCATGTTTTCTGCCTCCCTATCCTTTATAGAACCTATCCATACAGAATTTTTTTAAAGCTACAGGAGGTTAGGAGAAAAATACTGCCATTACTTGGCAGTATTAAAAAATAGATATTTTAATGGCAGTGTAAATGACTTACACTTATTTAGTACTGGATATAAGAACAACTGTCCTGGGTTGGACTGAACGTCGGTCTAGCTCTGTATCTGATTTCTGGATGTGGACAGTCATGAACACTTGAAGATTATGAGAAATCAAGTAGGAATGATCCTTCCTTAACTATACCCTTCCCTGTTCTAGCAGTTAGTGGTTATGGGATTTCCCGAGATAAATGTTGAGTCTGTAACCTTCTGTTGAATAATCCTTGATAGAGGTTTTTCATATATCTAATTGCTTTTTTAATCCATTTAGAGTTTACCATGGGATATTCTTATTGTCAAGAGTCCCACAATTATAATTATATATACTATGAAAAGGTACCTCTTTTTGAGATGCTTTTAAGCTTAGGTTTGATAATTTCATCAAAGACCTGATAGTCTTTCTATTAGGAAAATTAACAAACAGTAATTTTATATTGCATGCAATTCATGGTTTTATAACCCTGTATCATATTATTTCTTTTCAGTTGCTTCTTTTTAATGCTGAAGAGGCCTCTTTCTTTAACCCCTCCTTCTGTGAAAGGTCTTCCAAGCCTCTGATCACACCCAACTCCCTTCATTTTACTTTTATTCTGCTGCATTGGAACAAAATATAGTATTACAAATGTAGCATATAGGTTGTTATAATGTTGGCTTTCTTCTCCCCCTCTGCTTGCATCCTGATAATTCCTGACATTCTTTTTGCTTTTATGATTGCCACTGAGTAGTGCCATTTAATATTTTCAAGGTGCTGTCTGTGATGGTTCTAGGTCTTTCCTGGGCAATGACAGCTGAAGCAGCGCCTGCCACTGTCCTTGAGATCAATTTGTGTTTTCCTATATAAGTCATTTGGCCTTTACTGACATTTCATTTTCTTTGTTAATTTATTGTCCAGCTTCTCAGCTGCTTCTTCAGTTAATTCTGGTGCCCTCGGTGTAAAGCCCTTTGGTTTAAATGGACTGCTGATCTGCAATCAAATATTTGCTGGAGATTATAGGGGAAACATTTGTGGATATGGGCTGTTTTCTTATGCCTTTGCCATAGGTGTTTTATCTGTTGTTTTTCTGTCTAACATGCACTAGGGCATGCTGAATGTGAACTGATCAAAAGCAGTTGTACTGACCTAATGAAATAGACTTCTCTGTATTTAAAAAAAGCTTACTTTCAGGGATTTATTCCGATTTCAGAAAAAAGGAAGTGAAACTCACTTGAGGGAAACACAGAATCTTGATTTCAAATGTCTTTTGTAGTGGATATCATACCGTTCACTATTTTATTTTGTGGGGTTTACTTTGGTGTTTTTTAGGAAATCCTGCTATTGGAATTTTGAAGCACAAGGAGAGATACTATGTTTTCAGTTCCAAAGAAGCTGCATACATCTTTGCTCAAGATCCAGATAAGTTTATTCAGCTGAATGTAGAAAAAGCAAAAGAACATGCAGAGCTAATTCAACTGCTCGAGCTTCATCACCAGTTTGAATACTTTGCTCTGTCTGCACAGGTAGGCATTGCCCATGCCTCTTGCAGAACACCTGTTGGGTCACTGGTTGTTCTGTCCTTCCTAGAACATAAAGAGAACGGATGATACTCATCTTTAGGAAAAAAGTGTGATCATCTGCCTATCATACAGAATGTCTGAAGGTCCATCTTTTCCAGGTCTTTAGGATGTTGATAAGAAACATTTTCCCTTAAATGTTGTTCTCACCTTATCTCTTCATAGGAGAATATGTAGAGCCGAAGGATTGCGGCAGTGATAAAAGCCGTTTGTCCTTAGACTAGGAAGATCCTGTGTCTGATGTTTCTTTTCCTCGTTTTTTGCAGCAGTAGCTTAAAGGGACAGCAAATAAATGCAATAGGAGATAAGCCAGATACTGTATTAACTGGAACTTTAGCTTAGTAGTTCATCAGGAAGTGCTGGATGAGGATGTAGTGATAGCTGGGGACAGGAATTATGGAATAGATTACAAAATGAAAGGGGACTCATTAATAATGAATGCAACAGTGCTGCTATATGAAATCCAAAGACTTGACTTGGATTCATCGACATTCTCTGTGATCCACCGTGAATTCTGGGTCCCTAGCAATGGAAAGAAAGTAGTCCTGAATTGGCCCTTGGTGAGAAAGACATAGTTTATATCCTGGCTCTGGCAGAGATGTAAGCACTTCTCCTAATTATTTTTAGTCCATTCATAATGACAAACTGAGGTGCCTGCATCATAAAATACTGGTGGTGGTAGTGGTGGGACCGGTTTTTAACAAAATATAATCATTAAGCACTCACTCGGGATGTGGGAGTCTAAAATTCAGCTGTGGCCTCTGCTGAAAGGGTTTTCTGTCAGAAATTAAATCCATCAAATACTTAACGGCTTCTTCATTTTAGCAGGGGCAGTGGGAACAAAATTATTGTTGAATGTAAAAATCATTATCCACTTGTGGTTTGCAGGTTTCTATTTGCTTTTAAAAAGTAGCATATCCATATGCTGTTTTTCTTAGATGTCTGTATTCTTCTCATTAATGCCTTGATTGGTTATGGGTTGTATTTTTTTCATCCAGGCCAGAAACGCAGACAAATACTTCATGAAACCAACCACAAAATGTGACAATAGTACTCAAACTGATACTCACATCTTGCCTCCAACTATTGTGACATCCTATGAGTGGAATGAATGGGAACTGAGAAGAAAAGCTATAAAATTGGTTTGTATTGTTATTACCAGATTTTCATTGTTGGATAACAAAGTCGAGAATAAATTACTGTCACCTTTATGTTGCAAGGGACAAAATCTAACCTTATTCAAAGACATACACTTTGTTACAACTGGATCAGTATTTTTTTCCAGATACTTTCTCTCCTTATTTCTATACTTTCTTATTCTCCCACTTTTTCCATATTTTTCCCCAGTTTTTTGAGCAGTGCTTCCACTGCTAGGTCTATTCATTCCAAATTTTTCAGTTCCCTTCTTTAATTAATAAGAATTTGTTGATTAGCATTGAATTTTAAAGTTGTTTCTCTACACTCAAATAAATTTAGCCGGTTGAAGATACTGCTGTGTATTTTTTTTGTAAAAAAACAGAAGGTAGCAGAAAGGTTTGGATCAGTCAAAACTGTATTGCAGAAAGGTTTGGGTCAAGCAAAACTGTATTGCAAGTTGAGCAATTTATATTAATTACCATCAAGTAAGAGGAGGAAAAATGTAGTAACTGGCAGACAGACTGGTTAGGAATACCTTTGGATGTGTTTGACCCTGTAGAAGCTTTGAGCTAACTTACCCATCTTTGAAAGGTGTCAAAGCATGAGGCTTTTCTTTTTGTCTTTTTTTTTTTCCCCATAATGAAGTACTTTTCATTTTATCCTGACTCTTCACGTTTGCTAAAATCAATGCTGCTTTAAAAAAAAATAAAAATAATTCCCTCTTTCATGTAGGACTGGAGAGGTAAGAAACAGGGCAAGTAGCCTTTATGCTGTATATAGAAGCCAGAGGAAATGTTTGTTACACTATCATGATGATTTTCTGACGGATTAGAAAGTGCAGTCTGTCCACAGAAGGTTGGCCACATACATAAAAGCTTTTAAAGTAACAGTATATATTTTTAAAGCTTCTTTCTAGGGTTTGCACATGCAATTGTCAAGGTATAGAACCTGATTTTCACAATTCAATCAAAATGAATTTGTAAGTGCAGGGAATATGCAGTTACCAATATCAACTGGACACAGAATACCAGAGGGTTGATATTTTTTTTTTTTTGTCTGTGAACAGATGCACTGTGAAGGCCAGTGGTCTGCTGTACAGCCTATTCCCTTTCTATTGTTCTTTTTGCGATGAGATCTCTAACTTTATAAAAGGAAACTAAAGTTTTGAACTGAGAAATCTTACCAGTGTTAACTGGCTTATAGAGGATTCTAACTAATAGTTGTTACTGAGGTATATAAAGAAGCCAGTTAGGTTTATGAGAGGCCTAGCTAAAAGCCTCCTTTGCTTCTGTAATGGACAAAAGTACATAAATAATTGTAAGATGTGGTCAGCGGCTTATCTTTAGCATAAGTAAATGTGGCTTTTTTACAATAGCTGAGCATGAAAACCATTCACAAGCAAATTTGTAGCTTGTTAGTTTGAAATATTTAGAGAAAGTACTTTAAAATACTAAGGGTGTTTTAGCCTCAACTGTCCATATGGGAGATTAGTAATGCTGAGTGGAAACAAAAAATGCCAGACGCGTGCACAAATGTTTTGTCTACAGTGACTATGCTGAATTTGTAATATGGAGGTGATACAACATTTAGAATCAGAGTGCTAAAGTAACAGAAATAGCCTACCAATGCATCTGTGAATTTGACACTTTAGGAGACCATCGGACATATTTGTGGGTTTTATTAGAGAATGATCTTAGATGCCTTGGGGGTTTTTTCTGTTCTTTATACTTAGCCAGAAAACTTGTAGTGACCTTGTTGGCCTGCCATCACATGCAGTGTGCTTTCAGAATGACTGAAATTAATTTGAAGCACTGGAAGAACTTGCCATGAAAACAACATTTTCTTCTGACAAAACAAAGGCTTAAAATTTGAAGCACAACAACCGAAGGAAAATACGAAAGCAGTTAAGAGGCTGACTTAAAATTGTGTGGGCTACGTACAGTGCTGTTCACACATCCTTCTAGTCTAGGAATTACCAAATCACAGTTGTAACTGTACATTGATAGTAGGGCGAAGTGGGACATGTTCAAGATTTGTGAAGCCCATAGATGCAAAATGTACAAAGACACCTAAGTGTACGCTAGTGCTAAAACGTTCAAACAAAATTTTGCTTAATCTGATCTTTTTGTGTCTTTAGGCCAATTTGCGCCGAAAATTAACTCATGCCATGCAGACTGATCTCAGCCATATGAGAAGACACAACTCCACCCAAGTGTACTTGCCAAAAGATGTTAGCACCCAGACTAAGCGTGACAACTCAAGCAATGTACCCAGGCCCCAGATTTTCTTGGAAGGTCTCCAAGGAGGATCATCTCCTACTACTCATATGGTCAAAGTAGATTTAACAAGAGAAATAGCTGAAACCTAAGTGAAGATGAGAAACCTGAAGATATATATTGAATGTATATATGAAAATCCCTGCATATTTCTGAATTAAGATTTTGCCGTGTCTGTTGATTCCAGGAGCAATTGATTTATTTCATTTATCAGCTGGGGCTGCTGACTGGCATGAAGTGATATAAATTATAAGACCAGTTTTTAAAAAGCAATTTAGAATCAAGATGTTCCTAAAGACTTTAATGTAAACTAACATTTCAACGTGTAGTGTGTGTCCTGGGCTTTTCTGGAGGTTTTTAATGCAGTGATTGCTTGCCGAAACACTGTTGTTAAGAGCCATGTCTTCGGTACATGAAACGTATAATGTCAGACAAGCAGCTTTTACGAGATATGGGGCCAATGCTGCAGCTCCTACAGAGCCATAATTCCCGTTGGCGTGAAGTAGAACTGATCTCAGGAGAGTCACCCAAATGTCACAGCTCCACACATAGAGCAGAATCATCATGGTCAAACCAGCAAAGTGAACTTGGTCTGGGTCCCTGGGCCTGTGCATTTGTGCTGTCGTTGCAGGGCAACGGCTGTTACGGGTGTAGGCCAGGGCAGGGAGGTGGAGAGGACAGAACCTATCTCGGCTCTGGCAGCCTATTACATCTCTAGTAATTTCTGTATTGGCTGGCTAAACAGAGTGCTGGTGAGCACGCTGGAAACCACAGGAGCTTGACTTCAGGGCACCTTTCTGAAAGCTCTGTTTCACTTCTGTTTGAGAAACTACAGCACAACAGGAAAAAGGTTTTCATCTTTATTTCATTATGGCACGGAAATATGTGCCAGGTCTGATGAACGCAGCTGCAGCTAGCGTTTCTGTTTGTGAAAACCTGAGTCATTTAAGATGAAAAATCTTCTCAAATGGCAACAGGGGGTACTTTAAAAGAGAGATACTTCTCATAACAGCCGAGTTCCACAAGTTACCATCTGCAAAATGTCTGGATGTGCAACTGTGATTGCAGAGTGTGCTAAGGTTTCCAAATCTCTTTTTTGGTCAGGTGCAGCGTGGTTTCCTGGGTCTTTGTTACACAAACTTGTGACAATGAAGCTTGAAGATTCAAGCTGCTGGGTGATTTTTCTGTGGCACTGTGCAGGATAGCATTCTCTTTTTGTTCAACTGTCTCCAAGGCGTCTGGCTTTAAAGTTACACAGCTGGGACAAGACCACAAGGCATTATTTTAAAAAAAGGAGCAGGAGGAGAGCACAGAAAGAACTTAGCTAAATGATTTTCCACTAGGTGATTTTCTTCTTCATGAAAATAAACTGATCAGTAGCAGCGAGATGTGCTGCTCCTCCCATGTTTTTACATTACAAGCTGGCACCAGTTTTTAGATTTATTAATAAAAATATGAATGCTATTACCAGCTGCAGCTTTTTTTTTCAGAGAAAAATACAGTTATTGAATTATGATATACTTCTTCTTGTGATATCTATGGTTTTTATCATCATTTGCTTTGAGCCTTTTATGTTAAAGTTCTTACTTTGAACCAACAAATTGGTGTTTCAAAAATCCATAAATACATTTATTTAAAACTGATGAGTGAAAATCCCTTTTATCCTGCTTACTCTTTTTTTTTTTTTTTTTCCATTGCAGAATGTCCTGCAGTATTCTAAAATACTGGGGAATACAACTGTAATCTACATCTCTGTTTTGGCACGGCAGAAACATGGCGGTAGCGAAGAGTTTACTCCTGGCAATGAGAAATGCATGTGTGAGGTTCCTGGGTGTTTACTACTGATAAAATAGTCCAGAAAGGAGAGGTGACTTTTCAGAATGGCCTTACTCATGTGAAAGGGGATACAACATTGAGTTAATGCCCACTTGAACCTGAGTGAGTTTCTACTCAAACCTGGTTTTCCCATTCTGCTGCTGCACCGGCGAGCGTACTCATAAGGGGAAGGCCACGCAGAACACGGACAGCCTCACAGCCAGTGTTACCCGAAAGCGGTAATTAATTCACTCTCTACGACTCAGTTTTGGAGTTTTAGAAAACAAGCATTCTTCAGTACAGCGCCAGACACACAGGGGACAGCTCCTCCTAATGTGTGACTGAAAACAAAATCAAAAAGCATTTATACTACCTTAATCATACACATTCATTGCATTTTTATCATATTTTTATCATGTTCCTAACTTTTCCGAGAACCCACTAGCATATGTTAATGTCTCTTGCGCATGTCTGTTGGAGTCTTTAAGTGGTTGTCAGGGGTCTTTAGATGAAGGCTTGTAGTCTTCTTCACTGTGTCTGCCAGTTGACGTGTGGTCACATGTATCTTGTCCTCGGAGGCTGGCCTGGTCTGGTTTTGTTGCTAATTTGCAGCTTCTTTATGTTTCTTTGCACCTGCTACTACCAGGCCGAACCGTCTAAAGTAAGATTATTTATGAGTGCCTTATCCTACAGTTATTCTAACTATTCCTTAAAGGATTGGTATTTGTTCTGCAGCACAATGGTTAAATGGTTAAAACAGCTTAAATTGATCTTAATAATTCTATTCCACAATTATTTTCTAATAATCTTAGTTCACAGGTATCACCAGGGCTTCTGTAACAAAGAGCAATGCTTGTGGTTACTAGGCTTTAAGGTTATTCGAAGGATAGCTCATCAGAGCCACTGGGATCCTGTGCGTTTACAGCTGCTTTTTTGTTGTTTTGGGGTTTTTTTGTACCAGAGTCGGGTCTAAATTGACCTGCGTCTTTCCAACCACTGACCCTTGTGTACACACAGGAGAGAAACGAACTGCTCGGATAAAGGTTACGAGAGGAAGTAAGTAAGTAGAAGCCCATGCACTGAGTAAGTACGCGTCAGACAAAAGCACGGTTCGGGGGGGGGGGGGGGGGGGGGGAGCTGCAGCCTCGTCCCCTCACCCCTCCGGGAGCGCCTCAGGGGAACGGCGCCCGCCCTTTGCTCTCCGGCCTCCCGCTGCTCCCAAATGTCTTTCGAGGCGACGCTGCCGTCGGACAGTGCTCGCACGGCTGCGTTCCGAACAGCCTCCCATTTTTTTTTTTTTTTCTCTTATTTAAGGGATAAAATCGGTGAAAGCTGAGAGCAACCGCCTCCGCCGGACGAGCGGGAGAGGCGGGCACCGCCCCCGCCCGCCAGGGGGCAGCCTGCCTCCGGGCCCAGCCGCCGCCCGGCGGGGAGAGGCTGTCTGGGCGAGACAGAGTTTAGAGTCTATGGTGAAGCGAGGGAGGCGGGGCGTTCTAGGCGGCCGCGCCGCACTCTATGGTGTAATGGGAGGAGCGGCGGGGCACGGCGGGCGGCTCCGGCCCGGCGGTCTTGGCGCCTTCTGCGGGCACGATGTCGCCTCCGAAAGGTGAGGGCGGCGGAGGCGGCGCGGGCGTTACAGGGGCACGGTGGGCGTTACAGGGGCACCGTGGCGCCCGGCGGGAGCTACGGCCGGAGAAGGGGGGGGGGGGGCGATCCCGCCCCCTCAAGACGAAGGGCGACCCGCTCGCCGGCGGCTCCCCCCGCCCCAGAGGGAGTTGGAACCGCCCTCCCCGCCGGGGGGCTGCGGCGCCGGGCGCCACCACCGCGGCCGGCGGGGGGGGAGAAGGGGCTGTGAAGTGGCACGGGGCCGCGCCGGGGAGGGTCTCTCCACCCCCCCGCCACCCGCTCCGCCTTCCCCTTCTCCTCCCGCCGCCTGTGAGTGGCCTGGCCCCCCCCCCCCCCCGGGCCAGATTCCCCTCAGAGAGGGCCCGGCGCAGGGCTCCGCAGCTCCTGACAGCGGGTTTGGTGGGGAAGAGAAGCGGGGGGGGCAGCCGCCGGAGAAGGGGGGGCGCGGAGCCAGCGGGGTTTGCCGCCGCGTGGGTAAGGCTGGGTGCGAGGCACCCACCGGCCCCGCTGCCCCCCCCCGCGGGCTGCGCTTCGTGTGCCAGCCGTGGCCGTGGGCTGCCATTTAACAGAGCCCTGGCAGGGTGGTTACGTGAGCTGTGGAGATGCGTGGGAGGCCCGCACTTATATCCTGAGGCTTTCGGCCTCTCTGGTTCCTTTCGCTGGAAATCGTTTCATTTGAGCGCGGTTTGCTGAAGCCTGGGAGAGAAACTCTGGGAAAGAGCTTCTTTCAGGTCTCAGCCCACTTTTTGTTTGTTTGGTTGGTTGGGTTTTTTTGCAAGCTTGTATAAGTTCAGACTTACGAGCAGAAGATATGGGCGCCCCAACTATGCTTTCCTTCTGCCCCCAGTGCTACACTGGTACTGATGCAGACACGTGAGCCAGGCTGGAGATGTGTTCAGGCAGAAAACTAACTGCAAACAGCTTTTTACATAACGCTAGAACTATCTAGTATAGTTACTAGGTTCATTATGTCCTGCTGCATTTGGTTTACCCAAGTTTGCAAACAGTTGCCAAATTTGGGCATTTATTTCTTTAAAGTGCAGTTTATATAGGCAAGGATTAAATTTAGTTTTAGTTCTGTAGCGCATAAGCTTAAAATCTTATTGTGTAAAAACACATTGTTAATATAATTTCTGTCAGCATTAAATATAAATTAGAAAATACATTTTTGTAAAACTGGACTGGGTTAATTTTGTTTCCTCCTTGTTATGCCCTTGGATTTCCACCACCCCTCCCCTCAATCCAAACTTAATTTAAAAATGGATTACAGCTTGTAAGTCTCTTTTAAGCATTGTTAGTCCAAAAACTAATTGGCTCTACCTTTTAAAAGTGGTTACTGACATGGGTAAGATTTTTATCTATAAGGAAGTAGCTAATTTAAATGATTGCAGCAGCAGGAGGTATTAACTGTACCTTGCAGAAATGTTATGCAATAGAAGACATTACTGGCTTGAAAGAAAAATTAACCAAAACATCGGTTGCACTGGATTCAGCAATTCATTCCTGTATTAAATGAACAAAGTTATTACAAATCTGCCCAGGGCTTATCTGTTAGCTCATTCCCTAATCAGCAGAGGAACATAAACTTACACCAATTAAAGTAAGTTTCATTAGGGTATTCAGAACATGACAGACAGTGGCCCGAAAGATGCTGCTGAATGACCAGCATCACCCCTCAGGTGCCATGCATAACAAATAATAATTTACCATTTTGAAATACGGTTTTGTAGACACCACACGTTTGCTGATGCCTCCTGTTGGAGGGCATGCCTTCGTGCAGAGGGGTCCTGTTTGGAGTCGTGTGCTGTTCTCTTTACTGGTACGGATGTGGCCTTAGCCCTTCTCTGATGTGGGAATGAACTGGTGTGGCCTGGCCATGTCCACCCGATGAAACTCTCAGGCCTTAGCGGAAAATGTGTTTTTCACCAGGGGATTTGGGACAGGCTACCTGCCAAATTATGGATAATTGATCCAGGGCAAAGCTGTTACAAGAATTGCTGCTGCTGTAGGAGTATAGCAGTGGGGAAGATAGAGGGGGATAACACAGGTGATACCAGGTCTGTGTGTGGTTTGATTTACTTCAGTAGCCATAACCTCAGTGCCTTCTACCATGAATTCTTAAAGAAAGCCTCTTGTGTGAAGTCTCATCACTGTTCTGAGCAAAGCGCTCTCTTCTACTAACTTAGGGGGAAAAGAAGGCTGAAAGAAATGCTGTCTCATTTTTGAATATTTGCTAGATTGATTCCCTTCTTTGCTGGTACTGAACTTTTCCTCTCTCTGCTTTTACTGGTCTGCCAACGCTCTTTGTGTCAGACTTCCATATACTACGTGGAGAGGATCAGCTGCCGTTTTAGAGCGAGCACTTACTGTCAGCTAAAGAGCAGGAAAGCATGGAAAGACTTTTTGATCGCTGTTAGATAAATATTAGTCTGGGATCAGTTTTTCTAGAACGAAGGATGATTATGAGGGCAAGAGGACATCTTATTTTCAAACACTTGGTGCTCCTCTACAAGCTTCTTTGAGAAGAGACTTCAAAATTTTACATAAACCTTTTACAGGAACAGTTTCACAACACTGTAGTTATTGTATGCTGCCACCAGAGTATTTGATGCAGTCCTCCAGCTAGAGAACACCCTGTTTCCGTTATTGAATTAAAATGAAAGGCATGCTGAGTTGTTATCTTTGTTTTCTTTCAGAAAATGTCAGCTTACTCTTCAAGTTGTACTGCCTCACAGTGATGACCCTGGTTGCTGCAACATACACGGTCGCGTTGCGATACACGAGGACAGTAGAGACAGAACTCTACTTTTCAACGACGGCTGTGTGTGTCACTGAAGTTATCAAGTTGTTCTTGAGTGTGGGCATCTTGGCTAAGTAAGTATGGGAATGCTAATCAGTATTTTGAAAATGAATCCCTGCTTCTAACCTCAGATTCTCAGATAGAGAAGTACAGATACATTTGAGAACGTGTCTGGATAGTCATGCTGTGGGAGAGTCATTTTAGAGTGGGTTAGAGCTGGTGAGTCCTC